CCTCTTAGTCTTTATACTAAATGTATGCATGGTTTACACACTGCAATGGCAGTATTAGAGAATTCTGTGTACTTAACTTTTTCCAATGACTTTTCTACCTTTAGGTGATTTCTTGCTGCATGATAGCATCCTTTCTTGCAGTTGGCAAACTCCCTTTAACATTTCTTATAAAGACAGGTCTGGTGATGATGAATTTTCTCAGGTTTTGTTCATCTTGGAAAGTCTTTATTTCTCCTTTGTATTTGAAAAATAACTATGCTGGGTAGTTTCCTTAGTTGGAGCTTTTTTTTCCCTTTAGCACTTTGGATATGTCATTCCTATTCCCTCCAGGCCTGTAAGGTTTCCTCTGAGAAGTCTGTTGCTAGATGTATCAGACCTTAGATGTTACTTGCTTTTATCTTGCTGCTTTTCAGATCCTTTGTTTTTGACCTTTGGGAGTTGATTATATGCCTTGGGATAGTCTTATATGGATTGTATCTCGATGTTCTGTGAACTTCTTGTACCTGAATATTAATAATGTTACATAGGTTTGGAAAGTACTTTATTATTTACTTGAATAAATTTTCTACCCTGGTATCTTTATCTACATCCTCTTTGTGGACAATAACTCTTAATTTTGCCTTTTAGAGACTATTTTTTAGATTTTGTAAGCACACTGTATTCATTTTTTCTTCTCTTCCTATTTTTAAATAGCTCATCTTTGAGTTCACTAGTTCCTTCTTCTGCTTAATTCTGCTGTTAAGACAGTGTTGCATTTTTTAGTTTATCTATTTAATTTTTCAGCTCCAGTATTTTTTTAAAATGTCAATGTCTTTGTTAAATTTTTCGGATAGATTTATGAATTCCTTCTCTGTGTTATCTTGAAGTTTGCTGAGCTGCCTCAAAATATTTATTTTGAATTTCCTATCTGAGAGATTATATCTCTGTCACTCAAGGGTTGTTCACTGGTGCCTTATTTAGTCTGTTTGGTGAGGTAATATTTTCCTGGATGTCCTTCACGCTTATGAACATTTGTCCTTGTTTGGGCATTGAAGAGTTAGATATTTGTTCTAGTTTTCACAGTCTGGCCTTGTTTGTTTGGGACTCAGTTTCCTCCTGCTTGGGTGATGGAGTCTCCTCTGGCCCAGGGCTTGCCTTAATGGCATCAACAGAATTCTGCCCTGTGCTGTGTTCTGACTGTGACACGGTGGGACTGAGTTCCAATGCCAAGTTCCAAATTCACTTTGCTCTTCCTCCTCCAACCACAGATTTTCTCTCTTGACTGTGCTGCTGGGAGTTGGGGTAGGGATAGTGTAGGGAACATGAGAGACTGTCCTTCCCACCCTCTTCAATGTGTCCTAGTTATTATGCTAAACCCAGGTACTCTGATCACTCACCTGATATTTTTGGTTCTTATGAAGGTGCTTTTTTGCATGGATAATTGTTTATGTTCCTGCAGAGGATGAAGGAGGAAATTTCTGGAGGGTTCTAGTCGGCCACCTTGCTCCACCTCCTTCAGTAGGAGTCTTATCTTTGTAGCGTGGTCTTCCCAATAATTTTCTATGGACTTTTAATAACTATGTCAAAAATTAATTTACCAAAATAATTTTGAAGTGGTATCATGACAAGTTTAAGTGATAACGCATATTCAACCTAAACCAAATTAAGCCAAACTAAAAACTGGGGAAAAGTTATTAAAAAACTGCATCTAGCAATTTTAATCTGACATGATTTTAATGAAAGCAATAAATTACTTGAAATAGAAATAATACCATTAATATTCCATATAGATTATTTAAACAACTTTTCTACATATGTTGAGAAGGAAATAAAAATTGAGACAAAATTTTGTAGATGAGAAAGAAAAATATATATTTCTAAGTAACACGCTTGGATAAATGCTATTCTAAAATAGCAGCTAGTAATTTTAATTTGACATGAATATAATAAAAATGCAACTAAGGTGAATGAAAGAATTGTAGGACTTCATATTGTCTTCATCATATCAGGTAACATGTACCAAAATGTCCCTCTAAATTAAAAAAAAATTAAACTATCAATAACTTGCAGTCAACATAGATTGAAATTACATATTTTAATTTCAGTAATCATCATTAACTAACTCCTTCTCTGAAAGATGATATAATATGGCACCTCTATTTCTCTTTTCTTCTGAGTTTGTTGATTTTATAATATTTAATTTGTGATGGTTTATTATATATCTGTTCTACTCTGCAATAATAATTACCTCAGTTGTTTTATCTTAGGTCATACTTAAATGAAGTAAGTGTTCAGCCACCTGTTGTATAACCATGGTTTCCCAATTTCTGTATTCTTTATTATGATTTATCTCTTCATCAGTTGCATTTAATCTTCAAGTAGGGTTTAAGTTTCATTTTGGTAAAATTTCATTAAACCTGTTATTTAATGTATAGAAATGCCTTTCTGTTGTATTTATAACTGAAGAGCAATTTGCTCTATATAATGGAGACTTTGTTACATTGTTTCTGAAACTCAATATTTATTCTGAGGCCACTCAGATTTCCCACTTGTTATGTAACTTGCTTTTTTTTCCTGAAACTTGAAGAATGGTTTTATTTTTGAAATTTAATAACTAAATATGTTTTTATATTATTCGTTTTTTATTAACTTTTCTTGATATGTGCCCTATATTTAGTCATTCATTTACTTTAGGTAAATTTCCCTCTTCTATATCTCTCATTATTTTCTGTTCTATTTGTTGGTGTCTTTACTTCAGCAGTATCAATAGCCTTATGGTGGATGCACTATAGTTTATATATCTATTATCTAATTATTTAAACCTGTTGTCACTTTATTTTTATTCAGTATAACTAAATCAATCATTATCTCCATGGTGACTTCTGTTTCCTGCTGCTTCTAATTTTTTTATCTATACTGTTTATTTTGTATCATAGTTTTTTCTTTTTCTTAGAATATTCCTTTTCTCATAATTCTGATCTTTTATTACATTATTGTGCTTTCCTTGTTTTACTAAATCTATGTCCTTATTGGATTATTCAATAAATGCAAAACACCAGCAAAGAAATTTTAGTTCCTTGGATTGTATATTCTTTCAAATTGGATTATCTGTGTTATGTTTTAAAATCAATGCCTTTCTCCATTTATATATTAATATATTTTTATTTTGGGGCTGTAATATATTTTCATCACTCTCAAACCATTTTTTTCCTCTTGTACCTTTGTTAATATCTTATGTTTACTATGAAATGGTGTATGTGGTTTCTCCTTGACATCACTCTTACCTTATCTGGGATTATTTCTCTTCCCCCTGTGTACTAGAAGGTACAGAGAACAGACAGAAGAGAGTGGGAAGCACAGCTGGGACTGATTGCAGTCTTTGAGGAGGTCCTGGGTTTACTCTTCTTGCTGAGATCCCACCAGATGTTCTTCATTGGACTCCATTACACCAAGCTTGGCATGAATTCAAGTCTTTTGGGCTTTGGCTCACTTCCCTAATTTAGCACTGTATGCTGGAGCAAGAGAATCTGTGGCCCTTCCTGCTTCTGCCAAGGTCCAGATGTGATTTGTAGAGCATCCACTAAGTGTTTTATCTTGATTTTCCCAGACCCATCAATTCATCCCTTCATCCCACTCCTTTCAAGTTACAGAGCATTCAGATTCAGGATTTGTGTCACTTCTTACATCCCCTGTGTCACTTCTGTAGGTGGGAAGAGTTGCGAATTCTGTTGACCTGGCCATGACACCAGAATTTTCTGTTACTTCACTGGTCATAATTTTTTGAGGTTATAATCCTTCCCCATTTCTTTCTGCTGATGGGAAAATTGGCAGGGTTGTTTTTGTTTTGCTTTTGTTTATTGGAGGTGGAAGATTCTGTACCATAACTTCACAGCACCACCATCCCACAGATAAATAACCATTTTTAAATGTATTTGTGAGATATGCATCTTAAGAGATTAGAGCAAAAATATTAATGTATAAAAATAAGCAAGCAAGTGCGTGAAACACCTAACTTCGATGGCTTGGACTCTCAAATACTAACACTTATCAACATTTAGTGTCCATTTTATACAAAATACTAGGCCTGGTGCTATGAGAGACATAAAGGTGCATAAGTAGGGACAGGAAAATGGAAAGAGGCAACTATGCTTAGACCACTGTATAAGGTAGAATTACTTCCAATAACAAATCACAGACAAAACGTAAAGGTGAGTTAAAGTGGGGAGATAGTATATCCAGTTAAGGGAATATCAAAATGCATAATGAAAAACATGGCATTTATAATGTATTCCAAAAGATGGTCAGGGATGGGAGCAGGTAAATTTAAAGAAAAGAAAGTAAAAGGATAAGCATTAGATATGAAGGTAGAAGAGCACAGAGTGTAGCTAGAAAAGAACAAGTTACATAACATGTGTAAAACAGATTAAGTTTACACACATTGGAGCAGTGAAAAAAGCTGGAAGTGGAGCATGTAGGTGCAGTGTACTTAACTGAATGCCGGAGTGACTTCACTCTATAAGGTAATGGAGAATAAAAACCACGAGCAGTTAATAAGCAAGAGTATGACACGAATAGGCCAGTGAGGATAAACATTAATCTGGCAGCAGGATAGAGGTTGAATCCTGGGCAAGTGAAAAAAATGTTACACTGGGTGTCATGAGATTTAGACTCTCAGTCCAGCTTTGCCACACTACCCATATGTGTGAGATTAAGTGAATCCTTTGAATCCTTTTGTTCCCATTGAGCTCTCTGTAAAATAAAGATGGTGAACTTGGCTTCTAATATTTATTCTAGCTCTCAAATAGCATGGGCCTATATATTATAATGATGAAAACATGGGAAATATGGAAACTCTTTAGTATATAGCATAAGTTTGGCAAAAAATAAATGAAAAATAAATTATGATTGAAGTGTTTATAAAAAAAATATTTTATATGCAAGGGAATTTACAAAGGAAGAGCCAAGAAGTCAAAGAAATTGTATGAAAAGAGGACTCCAAGTTTCTGATTTGGCCTTATTAGGAGAATACAGATAACTTTCAGAGGAAGTGTGAACATCAAGCTGGGGAGCTTTTTTGAAGAGCAGGATCTTTCTATCAAAATGGGATAGTGGAAGATTAAAGTAGTGATGACTACATATAGGAATACAAAGTTGACAGTGAGAGACACAAGTCTGATACTGCAAAAGAAAAATGTAAGAAACTTAGGACTCAACTTTATCAATGAGTTTAACTACAGAAATGCACTAGGGACTGAATGGTGTCCCCCCAAAATTTATATGTCAAAGCTCTAATCCTCAATATGATGATCTCCAGAGATGGAACTTTAGGGAGGTAATTGGGTTTAGATGAGGTTATGAGGATGGGGTCCTCATGAAGGGATTAGTGCTCTTATAAGGAAAGGTCAGAGAATGCTCACTTGTTCGCATATGCTCTTGTATTCTCTCTCTCTCCTCAACCCCCACCATAAAAGGGCACAACAAGAAGATGGTTGTCTACGAGGCGGGAAGAGAGCCTTCACAAGGAACCAAATCAGTGGGCACCCTGATCATGAGACTGCCAGCCTCCAGAACTGTGAGAAATAAATGTCTGCTGTTGAAGCCACACAGTCCACAGTATTTTGTTACAGCAGCCTGAGCAGATTAAAATAAAGAAATGTAACTTGTGAGACAGAAAGGTAAGAAAAAGAAAATGTAGCATAAAGCCTATGCTTAAAGGAGTGCTTATTAGTAGTTAAGATGAGCTAGGCAAAATATAAGTGGTAGAGAAGTGAAAGATGACAATACTCATAACTTGCCCATTCATGCAACAGATACTTGCAGAATATTTACTGAAGGACCCTGCACTGGCACTTAGGGATCAAACTTAAATCCCACCTTCCAGTCTGACAGAGATAAGACATATACTGTTTTTTATTCAGGTAAATTATGCATACCCATTAAAAGATCTGTAGATAAATGCCTTTGGATTTCTAAGACGGGGGATATTATTTCAACTGGGAGAAACACAGGAATATCATTTTATATAGTAGGTAGCATTTGGTCTAGACCTTATAGAGGAATAAGATGTTCGCATGGACAGAATGCTGTATGGGGAACTCCAGATGGAATAGTTCGTATTAGCTCTGGTACCAGAGTAGTGAGTATCTTTGCAGGAAACCTCAGGTGTAATCTTATGGAGCTCTGGAAAGACCATAATGAAATAACTATTTATGGAGATGGCTGGCAAAGTTAAGGACGTGGACAAGGGACATGATGGGCCTAGGGACAGGCAACAGTGAGAAGTCACTCCTAGGAAAGAGTGTTCGAGGAGCTAGTAAAGAGTGTAGCCATGTGGAAAGAATGGCCTGACAGAATGGCTCATCCTAGAGGGATGCAAACACTGCAAGAGCCATGATGCTGATGCACAAGAAGAGGGAGACAGGAGACAGGAAGAGACAGGAGGAGACAGGAGGAAAAGCCTCAGCCTCTCTCTTCCCACTCTCCAACCTCCCTGCTTGAACTCTCACCAGCTGATCCCAACAAGAAACACGGTCAGTAGGAACAGCTCAGTGGAGCACAGCTTGAGGTAGAAAATGGAGTGGGGTAGGGACCCAGAGGAAAATGATTGCCATAGCTACTGAGACAGGAGAGAAGAAAATGTGTATGTGAGAAAACGGTTCATTTTGGCTAGAATAAATGATGCATGAGGGCAAAAAGCCAGAGTGTGCTTATAAAAGTAAATGGTAGCTGAAATTCATCAGAATAATGACAAAACAAAGGGAAATGAAAAAACTTATGAATCTGGTGCTTAACGCATCAGGGATGTTTAGTGCCTTTCCTGGAAATTACAGATAAAAGCAACAGGAATGGAGAGAAATGACATCAGAACATAAGAGGTACCACAAAATATAGTTAGTTTTTACAAATATGAATGTAACAGTGGCCAGGAAGAGGCCGGAGGAAGAAAGCAGTACTCTGATTCCTCCATCTCACTCAATGAGGTGAACAGAAAGAATGCCATTTATTTTCTTGGACAAGGGCAGCATAGTCTTCAGACACTTGCTGGGATCAGGAGGGACAGGCTACTTCCATGATTTGGGTCATTGTGAGGGAAATAGTTTAAAAAAATGAAGGACAGGAGATCAGGGGAACTATTTGTGGGACTAGTAGAAGGAAGGCAGCAGTGGAGCGGGGAGAGGTGGAACAGAGCTAAAGAGGAAAGAGAGAAGGAAAAGGGATGGCAGAGGATGAGATGGTGATTTTTAATGGCAGGATCGCAGAGTCACGTTGTCAGAAAGTTGAACAAATATATATATGCCCCTGTAGGAATTCTAGAGAGGAAAACCAGCCATGAGACCTTTCTAAGTATATACTCTTAAGAGAAATCTTGATAGGGTATTCGACCTCAGAGGTTAAGGAAGAGTGGGTTTCAGGAAGGACCTGGGGGGCGGTTAGCTACACACATAGAGGTGTGCTGCAACCAGCTTGCACCAGCTCCTGAGAATCAATTGTTACATCTCTTTCCAACTCTGGGCTCTGTGGCTTCATATAAATACCAAAATAGGTCATGGTAGGTGTAGTTCTACCCATAGAAACTGACAAATGCTACAGATGAGGGTCCCCTTCTCACAAAGTCAACTATCAACCCCAGAGCCTATTACTAAACCTTTATGAGCACACCACTGATCTGCTGCAGCTTCAATTTGAGGACAGGCTGTTGCAATGAGCACTGAGGATGGTGTTGCGTGAGAACATTTTCATGAAAGAAGCAGCACCCTCCGCCAGAGGTCACCGGGTGAGTGTGTGCTGAGCAGGTGCAGGCACGGTCCTCCTTAAAAGACTAGAATGAGTGGCTGTTCATTGATAAGAACTAAATTTTGATCGAGCTGAGAGAATTCCAGATGATGCAACCTAGAAGAGGCTAAGCAAATAAAAATAAGTCATCAACAACCTGTCAGACATGCAGAATTTAGTGAATAGAAAATTAACCCATTCCTCTGAACTGAGCAATGCTTGATTTAGCTTCAGTGAGCCTTACAAGTGGAAGCTGGAACTTTCTTCCTGTTTGTGTCTACTGCAAGAAGTAAAAATACACACCACCTACCTGAAGCCTGTCATGATACTTGTGTTTCTGTAGGAATATTTTCTAAAACATCTTAAGTTACTGCTAGAAATTGCCAGCAACTGTGTCTGTGTTTTCCCATTTTTGAAAGAAAGTAATGCCCTCAATGCCTTAGAATTGCTCCTTCCCACCTTCTGATGCCTTGTCCTGGGCTTAGTGGATGTAAATTAACTCTGCTGCTGAATAAAGAAAATTTTATTATAGGAATACAGTGCTGAATACAAAAAGAGAGTCATCAATTTTGTCTTTCTTTTCATTTTCTCTCCTTGACCCTTTTCTTCTTAACTATTCTTCTCATTTTTTTTTCTAGCTAGCATGTTTTCTATGTCTGTCACATACACAGGGTTTCTTGGGGACTAGAAGTGCATAAGAAGTTTAACAAGGGGCGATTTACCTGCTTAATGTTATTGTTCACATAGCACAGTCATTCATCATCAATTCAGTAATGTTTGTTAATCACCTGTGATGTAAGAGACACTGTTCTAGACATATTATATCCTACACAGCAACATCTTCTAAGGTATATATTAAAACAGAAGATACAGACTTCAGGCAGGTCCATTCTGCTCTGATTTGGGTTTGAAATCAACAGTTCCATATTTGTTTTCATTTATTTTTAATATAAATTTCCTTGAGTATAGTTAGTATACATGATGTTATAGGATACATATATATAGTGAAAAGACTATTATAGTGAAGCAAAGTAACCTATTTGTAACTGTATTAGTCTGAATACTCTTGTATATTGACCATGTGAATGTCTTTCACTTTATTAGTTTTATTTTCTTAGCCTTATATCTTGGGAAATATTAGGTTCTCAGAGTGGAAGCAGTTCAGATGAGCCATACTGCAGGAAATACACTATTACTATAAAGGATACTTGCAGGAGAGCACTGTGCATTTCCTCCCTCGGTGTCAGCCAAATACACATAAAAAGTTGGGGCAGTGATACAATTAAAATGTTAGTGGAAGGATGCCTACAGGGCCCAGGCACAAAAGTGTCACCTCTTTTGTCAGTCACCTCCCTGACATCCCTACCATCAACCTCTCCTTCTTCCTGTTATAACAAAAGTCTTTCTTAAAAATGTAAGTAATGTCTACCACTTACAAAATTTTAGTTTCAGCTGTGCAAGGTAGCCCTCACCTGTAATCCCAGCATTTTGGGAGGCTGAGGTGGAAGGGTCGCTTGAGACCATCAGTTTGAGACCAGCCTGGGCAACATGGTGAAATTCTTTCTCTGTGCACGCACGCGTGCGCACGCACACACACACACACATGCCAGGCATGGTATGAGTGCCTGTAGTCCCTGCTACTAGGGAGGCTGAGGTGGGAGAATCACTTGAGCCCAGGAGTTTAAAGTTGCAGTGAGCCATGATCACACCACTGCACTCCAGCCTGGGCAACAGAGCGAGACCTTGTGTCTGAAAAACAGACAAATCAAAATTTAGTTTCTTAAAGAACACCTTAAATAGGGCTCTGAGCCATTTTTCAAATCACATGTATGTTTTCACAGGAAATGGGGCAGGGGGATAGGAAATAACTGAAATACAGGCTATGTAGAGGAGTATCCACAGGGGAAGACAGAAGTTAGCAAAAAAGCTTGGTGTGGAGGATGGTCTAACTGAGAAAGAGAGGCATTACCAGAATATAAGATCTGCTGCAGTTAGAAGAGACCCAAAATAACATTGTGTCAAATGGAGACAACTTTATATCTCTGTTGTTTAACGGCCCAGAGAGACATGGGCAGGGCTAGCATTGTGAGTCAGCTCCATGGGGTCATCCAGGGACCCAGGCTCCTTCTACCTTGTTGCTCTACATCCCTAAAGTGTCGCTCTCCCTCCAGGTCTCACTACTACAAGCTAAAAATTCCCAAGTTCATTACACCTGTGCTTTCAATCAAGTTTGCTCTGCCAAGCCCCATTGCCACTCTACTTTGTCATCATGTCCCCGGTACAGCCTTCTTGTCCCTACTAGATACCCAATAGGTGGCAATACAGGCATTGATGGATCCTACTGGGCTCTGACAGGCTCTAATGCCCACTGACTGTTTGTTTTGCTAAATCTGTAGGGTTATCTGTGGTTAGGTAGGGGAAAATGCTTCTTTCTCTTCTGGTTACACCATGGTCTAGAGTTTCCAAAGTAAGATTGTTTATACTCCAGTGTTCTGTAAATTTTTATCAGACAAAAACTAAATAAAATAATTCCAGCTTTAATGGACAGTCCCTATTCTCCACTGCTCTAGATATGTATCCAAGAGGAACTAAGTTGTAAGATACACATGGAAAATAACAATCATACTGTGTTCAGAATCACTCCCCCTAACTTACAACTATCTCTCTATTATAGTAAGCTCATTTACCTAGGCTCCCTTCCCCGAGACAAGATCTCCTGTCCTCATCCTACCCCTCCAAATATCTTCTGTTAGACCTGTGCCACCAGTTCAGTGACATGCTCTGATCACTTATATTTAAAGTGAAGTTCAGCTAGACACAGCATTGGC